ACATGATTTTTTTTTAAAAAAACTAGTCATTTTGTTAGGTTTTCATTGCTTTTCAATCTTTTTCGTCATTTTGGATACGTTGAAAATTTTAGTAATTATGGAATATGAGTACAGTTGTGGCTGCAACGCAGTACAAGCGGCATATATAATAAGTTAATTAAGTTATTTTTATTTGTAATAATCAAAGTAATAACCCATGCAATCGATACATTTGCGCCAATCCAGTGGCAGTTTATTGATGCCCTTCTTCTTGAAGAAATCAGCTGGCCTCAAGGGTATTGTAAAATATAGAAAAAAAATTGTTAACTTATTTCATAAAAAACGGCAATTTAATATATATATATATATGAGGAATTTTTTTCGTTCTCAGTTGCAAGGTACGTTAAATCATTAAAAATAAGTACAATTAGATTAAATATAGATTTGTGATATGTTTTAAAGAGTGAATTTTAATATTCCAATTCATTTTATTATGTTTACTACATATAACAAGCATGACATTTGATTATGTTGGGTTAAGTGAGTTCGTTATATGAGATACCAGTCTCATCATCTCATCATATATTAGGGACCATATTTTGGACTTTAGTTACAAACAATATTTAACATGTAAACTTCGTATTTATTGGAGATGTCGCCAATTAAAAAGACAATTTGGGACCACGCCGCGTATCGTACTGATAATCCGGTCACACGTTAACAAATAGGATATTAAAAAGGTAGCTTGGAACGTTATGTCAGGAAGGAATGTTACAAAATTACAACATTTCAGTTTCACGCCAGTTTAGTTTTTAAAAGGCTTCTAAGGCTGTTAAGAAATGGTTACGAGGCTTCATACGCAGAAAGGATACCACAAGCTGTTTTCGCTGCAAGGATTGGATGATTTATTTAACGCCGTAAAATCATTTTAATCTATATTGAGCCAGCAATCATAAAAATAAACTTTTCTCCATACAGACTATTCGTTAAATATACGTTAGAATATTCACACACAGATGAGGCTGAAATAACGGTAGTACTAACTTGCGGAATCTATGTGCTTCTATGATAATTTTTCGTCGAAAAAATAAAGTACAATATTTAATAGATGGTACTACAGTGGGGCCTATAATAGACACTTGGTTACACGATAATCCCGGATATGTTTTGACTAATAAAAAATAAGATTTTCCACACAGCATGCATCTGTGTGCATGCAAAAGCAAATACAAATATATGATGTTTGGAAAAGCTTATTAGCAATAAAAGTAAATTAGTTGTATTTATCATTTAAATGAGCTAAAAAAGTTGCCTTAAATGATATACTTATATCTCAAATAACATCTCTAATTAGGATACTTTCATGCTTGTATAGAAAAAGTGTATTCTTTTGTTATATCACTTATATTACAGAATTGGTAAGCACTATTGCTAAAATATATATAGTTTTGAAATATATGTTAAATCTGATTTATTATCTCGTAAAATTACCTTCTTACCTGTTTTTTTTTTTATATAGGATAGGGTGACAAACGAGCACACAGTCCACCTGATGGTAAGTGGTTGCTGTGACCCATAGACATCTACATCTATCCTCAATAAAGAATCAAAATGCAGATGCGTTGTCACTCGTGAGGACTAAGATGGAATGCCTCTTCTTCAGTAAAAAGGGTCTCCGGTTATCTACACTCACCATACGAAACACAGCATTGAGCTGAAATTTTACGCTGGTATTCTGTGAGAGCGTGGTCCTTCCCCGGTCGAGCCGGACCCATTCGTGCTACAACTATACAATTAATATAGCTGTAACATGGCTCTACTACGCAGTAAATTTAGTAATTAAGTGTTTTACGAGAAACACGCAAAAAATTGACAACTCATATTTGACATCTTTATGCTATGTTATTTTCACTAGTAACGATATTGTTTATTTAAATTAAAATAAAATTAATTATAATAATATATGAAGTAAAATTAAAATAAATTTAATTACTTTTGCAAATTTGATCAAATGAAAATCTCACAAGTAATTTGAAAATCTACACGACTGCAGTTTCTAATTTCTAGACTGCACAGATCAGAATGCTTTCGGATTAAACCGCAGCTGAAACTTTGACTTTTGCACCAAATTCATTTCAAACTTCTACGTTTCGAATGTTAAAATTTAGTCCGATCCAGAATTAACCAGTATTTAATGATATTCATGAAATTTTTGTGCTCCATAAATTAATAAGTCTTAATTCAATATAATAATATTAAATAGTAGAAAATCAACCATAATAAAGTGAGCTAAGTCTTTAAGGACATTTTAACGGGCAGACGAATAAAAATGATAATAAAACAAATTTTACGGATTTTATCCTGTTTAATTTAACCTCCGGGAGGAAAAGCAGCGACGAGGTTCGCCACCCGTCACGTTCTGTCTCCCGGAGGGGCGAAAGTGGATTGCGGAAGCCCGTCTGGCTACTTTGAATGTATGTGGAGGAATGAATGATAAGATGGATGAAGTTTGCGATATGATGTATGATAGAGGAATAGACGTGTTATGTGTAAATGAGACGAAACGGAAGGGAAAGGATGCCACTACACATGGCATGTATACCGCGTACTGGTCTCGTGTAGACGAGACCGAGCGGGCATGCCAGGGAGTCGGTATCATCCTTTCAGAAAGAATGGGTCATTGTGTGAAAGAGTATGAATGTGTAAGCCCGATACTGCTATAGATACGAATGAAAGTGGGCTTAAAGAAGTTGTTTGTTTTAGGGGTCTACGCCCCAGACATGTCTAAGCCCACTTATATCCGAGAGCAGTTTTAGGAGTTGGTAAGGATGGTGCTAATGAAATGCAAGGTTAATGAAAATATTGTGATATTAGGAGATTTGAATGGAAGTGTTGGGGTGAGGAGGCTTGGTTATGAAAGGATATTGTGAACGTTTGGTGATGAAAGTATAAATGAGAATGGTGAAAACCTCCTCACCGTATGTGTGGAAATGAATCTTTTTGTGACGTACACTTTCTTTCGTCATAAGAAGATTCACACGTATACATCGGAAAGAGGTGATGATAGAAGTATGATTGATTTCATAATTGTTGAAGAAAAAATGAGAAGCGCGGTGGTAGATACAAGGGTTTACCGGGGCTCTAGCATAGGGACGGACAAGATCAAGTGGTCTTATGCCGAATTAATGGTCTTTTCAGACGTTGGAGGCATCGGACATCTGTGTCTACCACTGCGTTACAGCGTATAAGAACAGAGAGGTTACAAGATTAAGGTGTGAAAGAGAAGTTCAAATGTAGATTGAGAGAAAATATAAGTAGTATGGCTGAATTGTGTATGAATGATTTAGACTTGGAGACTGTGTGGTATAATGTCAAGAAAGGTTTAGTGCATGCAGCTACCGAAGTATGTCGTGTAAGTAAGAGAACGAATGAAAGGAAAAATAATACGTTATGGTGGGATGATGAGGTACGGATGGAAGTTGAAGCAAAGAAGAAAGCATGGCTAGATTTACTAGCAACCAAGGCTAGTAATTCTAGCAGTACGAATGATGATATTGAAAGGAAAAAGGCAGTCTTAAGACATGTACATAAGGGAGTAAAAGAATTAGTTGAAAGGAAAAAGCAAGAAAGAACGGATAAGAATGATAGAAGAATATCGGATAACTTTTTTTTTATAGGATAAGGGTGATACACGAGCACACAGTCCACCTGATGGTAAGTGGTTGCTGCGGCCCATAGACATCTACATCTACACAATGTAGATGCGTTATCACCCGTGAGGACTAAGATGGAATGCCTCATTTCCAGTAAAAAGGGCCTCCGGCCATCTGCACTCACCAAGCGAAACGCAGAGGTAAACCTCTATTTCACGCTGGTTTTCTGTGAGGTCGTGGTACCACCCCGGTTCGAGCCGGCCCATCCGTGCGACAGCAAAAGCTGCCGCGTGGCTCTACCACTGTATAAATGATGATCAATGTCGACGATGATCAAGTCATACTTGCGTCGTCGGCGGCCGAGTTGCAAATGATGGTTACATTAATGAACAGGACATTTGTTTGGTACTTTTTTATAAAGGAAACACTGGAGACGTTTTTGATTTGGTATATTTGCTCTCACGCACCTTCGTGACAACCTTTTTAAGGGGCACTTTATCGACTGTGGTTGCTAAAGCAAACAGCACGGATGTAGCGCCATCTATGGTTCTCTGTGTGAACTGTTTGTTCCAGTTAGGTAAGTAGTTTATGAAAGGAAAGAGAACCATAAATGGCGCTTTACAAATGGTAAGTGTAGATGACGCCAATATTGTGTTTATAATATATTTGGTTTACAACATGCTCCCCCCTTTTAATAGTTAAATATTTCTACTAATAAGTTTAATTAGGTTACAATAAATTAAATCTAAAATAACTTGTGTATTATTAATTTGTTTCAAATAAGCTATCTACCTGTCCACCTACTTTGATGATTTTTCAATGAAACCCACCCAACATAAACATTTATTGTAGTTTCACAAATAAATATTGGGAAGTATTAACTTAATGCAATACAGTTACTACATAATTATAACGTATGAATTTAAGATACATTTGTTTGAAATAAGTACTACATATTATGAAATATGAATCTAAGTTACAGGCAAAAATAATATAATATAATAGTGTGACACTAAAGATACCTTAGGTTATTTAAATTGATACATAAGATACATTATTTGGTTACAAGAAAGGTTAATACTTAATGTACTAAGTTAAATAAGTAAGTTAATGATTATCTTGTATTGGTAGAGGACAAATCTTCGGGAACGAAAGCTTGATGCTGGAGCCCTGGGATATGAGACACACTCCGTCGCCCACGGGGTGTGTCTCGATGATCCTCGCTAGTCTCCACTGGCATGGTGGAGGGTGCTTGTCCTTGATGAGAACTACGGAGCCCGCTGCCAGAGTGGGTCCCTTGGAGCTCTGCCACTTGCCTCGTTGTTGGAGTAGCCCCACGTAGTCTCTTGAGAAGCCCTTCCAGAAGGTTTAGTAGATCTGTTGGAGTTGTTGAAAGTATTTAAGTCTGTTGGTAGGGACTTCGTCGTATTGATAATCCGGTAGTGCCACTGGCGTTGTTCCTATCAGGAAGTGAGCTGGTGTAAGGACTTGGAATACTTCCCAATCGGAAAAGGGAATAGGACATAAAGGTCTGCTGTTAAGGATTCCATCTATCTGAATTAATTCTGTTGAAAAACCTTCATAGGTAAGTAAACATTGTTTCAGGACACGCTTTAGATGATATTTGCAACTTTTAACAGCGCCCTCTGCCAAACCATTCATGTGAGGTGAGTAACTAGGTACAAACTTCCATACGATACCTTGCTCGGTACACGAGGTTGTCAATTCGTTAGAGCTCGTGTTAAGAAAATCGTGTAACTCCCTTAACTCCCTATCGGCACTCCGGAAGGTGGTGCCGTTGTCACTCACCACCGCTCTTGGCTTCCCGCGTCTGGCTATGAACCTTCTAAACGCCGACAGGAAGCTATGAGTTTCTAGACCTGTAACAAGCTCAATATGTACGGCCTTCGTTGAAGAACATATAAAAATGGCTATATAAGACTTGTAAGTTTTGTAACCACGCCCCTGTCTGTCTTTAAGTAGAAATGGACCCGCATAATCAAGTGCCACAGTGTAAAATGATGGTGCTGGTTGCACTCTGTGACCCGGTAGGTCGCCCATAGTAGGCGTTGTTGCCTGTGGCTTGGCTCTGAAGCAAGGTACGCATTCTCTATAAATGTTATTTGCTAAAAGCTTACCCTTGATAGGCCAGTACTACTCCTTCATGCTAGACAGCAGCAGCTGGGATCCTGCATGCATGAGGCGAACGTGCTCGTTCCTTATAATTGATGGGATGTTTTTGTCAAATTCGTAGTCTGATTGACTAAGACGACCTCCCACCTTTATAAGATCATTGTCCACAAATGGTTTAAGACTCAAAAGTTTTTAGGTTTTAGGCAATTGTGAATTATTTTTAAGTAGTTTGTATTCATTAGGAAATGATTCTATTGTATATATATTATAGTGTAAATATTATTAATTTATTAGCAGCTTGCCTTTGTTCCTGACATGAAATTGCACCTGTAATTTTGTTATTTTTGTTTTTACAATTGTGCAAATATCTTAGTATTTATGCAAATATACGAAATATTTAGTGTCACTGGACCACCTTGAAATTAAATCATTTATGAATTATGTGCTGTCGTTAGCCCCATTTTGTGTTGTGTTGCATAATGTTTTGTGTGGGGATTGTTTTGCCTTAATTCTTGGGTTTGTTGTTTATTTATTTATATATTGTTGTTATATTATAGGCCACTCACCTTGTGGTTTACTCAGAAATGTTGGACCTTCAAACCAAAATTTAGAGGTAGATGTGCAGTTAACAAATTTGTCTGGTAAAACTCCCCTTGAAAGCAAATCTGCAGGGTTTTCATTACTAGGAACCCAGCGCCATTTAGACTGGTCTGTTATAGCTTGAATCTTGGTAACTCTGTTGGCTACAAATGTATTGAGCTTATGAGGTTCTGTGTTTATCCACGCTAACGTGATGGTAGAGTCGGACCAGTACTGAATGTCGTCCATAGGTACTTTGAGTGCTGACTGCACATCCTTCATATTGACTGCCAACAATAACGCCGCACTCAATTTGAGGCGGGGTATAGTTTGAGTTTTTAAAGGTGCTACTTGGGTTTTTGCAAATAATAATCCAAGTAGAGTTTGGCCTTGTGCATTGGTTGTAAGCACATATATGGCTGCCCCATATGCTTGTGTGGAGCTGTCTGCAAACTCATGTAATTTGAAAGTTATATAATTGCTTATTGTAACTACTCTGGGGATCTGTAACAATCTTAGGTATTGGAAGTGAATTGTAAAATGTTAACCAATCCTTTAAAAGAGTTTGTGAAATAGGTTGGTCCCAGTCCGACCCGTCCACCCATAGTTGTTGGATGAAGCATTTGGCAAGAATTAAGCTTGGGCCTAATAGGCCTAAAGGATCAAAGATACTTGAAACTCGAGATAAAATAACTCGTTTTGTTACATTATATATATAGGTTGTAAGTAATTCAGATTGCCGTTTTGGTGTGACCATTCAAGTCCTAATATTTTGTGTGAGCTATCCCCTGTTTGTCCAAGTTGGACGCCTTGTGGTGTTGTTGTACTTTCTGTTTGTGTAGGTAGTACTTATTGAATATGTGTTGGATTGGTTTTCCACTTACGTAGATGAAAGTTAGCTGTGCGCAGGACTCTGTCTACCTCCAGGGCGACCTGCGCGATCCTGTGCTCATCGTCACCTGAGAGGAGTAAGTCATCAGCGTAGAACTGCTCTTTGATCGCTGCGGTCGCCGCGGCTGCCACCGACAACTCGGCTGACGACCGTGCTGCATCTGGAAGTTGTTGCAAAGCCGTGCGAGTTTCTTGTGCCAAGTGCAGTTAGCAGCGTGTTGCAATGTGCGGCGCAGGTTTCAGTCCAAAGCTGAATGTTGTTAGTTTGAAAGTTTGAAGCTCATGGTGAGGCTCCTCCCTCCACAGAATGCATTGTAGAGGTTGCTAATCAGCATTTATGTGTATGCAACAAAACATTTTTTGTATGTTGGCGTTAATTACATATTTGGTCGATAAACTTTCACCTAGGGCGACACTTCCCGACTCTGCCATTCACCTCTGCAACATAAATTTTCTTTGTCACTCTTTCCTCATTCATTCTATCTACATGACCAAACCACCGAAGCATTCCTTTCTTAATCCTGGTCACAACATCATCTCGCAAACCACACTCTTCTCTTATCAAACAATTTCTCACTCTGTCATTCAGATTCATCTCTAACATACTCCTTAATGACCACATTTCTACAGCATTTATTCTACTCTCGTGCTTCTTCTGCCACACCCAACTTTCACTACCATACATTAAAGTAGGTACTAACACAGCATTGTGAATTGCCATATGTGCCTTTTTGGACCATTTTAGAATAATAACCCTTTTTATACAAACTTAGTTTAATAAAGTTTTTGAACTTTGAGGAGGTCAAATTTTGTATATTTTCTGGAATTTTGTTGTAAAAGCGTATAAATCGCCCCAAGAATGAATTACTGACTCGATGGAGTTGAGTAACTGGTACTACTAGCTTGTGTCTGTTCCTAGTATTTACAGAATAAAAACCACTTATTTTTATAAAACTACTTTTATTTATGTGTACGTACATTACATTTTCATAAATGTATTGAGAGGCCAAAGTTAATATATTAATTACCTTAAATTTTTGTCGCAGCGACTCTTTAGGCTTTAAATCATAAATTGCTCTTATGGCCCACTTCTGTAAAACAAATATAATATCAGTGTCAGCTGCGTATCCCCATAGCAAAATACCATACGACATTATGCTATGGAAATAGCTAAAGTAAACTAGTCTAGCTGTTTCAACACTAGTTAGACTTCTAATATTTTTTACGGCATATGCTGAAGAACTAAGTCTGCTTGCTAGTTTTGATATATGGGGGCTCCATTGAAGCTTCGCGTCTAGTGTGATTCCAAGAAAAATGGTGGTATCTACAAGACTCAGTTTCTCCCCATTTAAATTTACATTAGTATTTAATTGCTTGACATTTGGAGTCATACATTTCATACATTTCGTTTTAGTGCCATTTAAATGTAAATTATTAACATTGAACCAATTTACTAATTTCAATATAGCATTATTTACTACGTCATATTCTAGCAATTGTCGACTTAATTTGAAAATTAAAGAAGTGTCATCTGCAAATAATACTATATAATGGTTATCTCCTACTATGTAAGGTAAGTCATTAATGTATACAAGAAACAGAAAGGGGCCGAGAATTGAGTCTTGAGGCACGCCCATTTGTACCATCGACCCGTAAGAACTCATACTGTTAATGACAACTTTTTGCGTTCTCTTACTTAAATTTGAAATAATTAATTTAAGAGCATCATTTCTTACACTGTAGTGTTGAAGTTTCCCAAATAATGTTTCATGGTGACCACAATCGAAGGCTTTGGATAGGTCACAAAATATACCCAAAGCATCCTGTGAATTCTCCCATGCATTAAATATATATTTAATCAACTAAACACCGGCATCAGTTGTCAAGCGACCCCTTGTGTAAGCAAATGGATTTTTATGAAGTAAATTATTTATATGAAAGAAATTTAACATTTGATCAAGAATAATTTTTGTAAAAATCTTACTAAGTGTTGGCAGTAGAGAAATAGGTCTAAAATTGGCGGGGTCTAATGTACTACCAGATTTAAATAAAGGTATTACTATACTTTACTTTATTAAATCAGGAAACACACTAGATTCGATACTAGTATTAAAAATAATAGCTAAATGAGGCGCGATTGTATCTATTATAGACGCAATAACTTTAACGGAAATCCCCCACAGATCCACAGTTTTCTTAACATCAATAGTTTTAAAATATTTTACAATATCTTTTGATGATACTTTATGAAATGTAAAATTATTTGTACACGCATTTACATTTTATTTAAGTAATGATTCGGCGACGACAGGAGAAGAATTCAGTGACTTAGTGGTTAATATTGGAATATCAGTAAAAATTTTCTCAAAAACCATTGCAACGTCCTGATCTGATTCGGTTAATTTGTTATTAACACTTAACTGGTAGTTTGAATTGCGAGAGTTGATCTTACCAGTTTCGCTATTAATTATACTCCATGTCATTTTAATTTTATTAGAAGCCGTCTTAATTTTGTTGCTCAAATGCAAAGACTTGGCTGTGGAACACTCTTTTAAATATTTTTGAATATTTTTTTACATATTCGCTAAATTCGACGCTATGATTATATGACCTTTCATGGTAAAGATCTACCTATGTTTGCTCTTATGGACTCCTACTGTCGCCCATTCAATAAATGACTTCCGACGGTTCGAGGAGAATGTTTCAGAAGTAAAAGTATTATTAAATTCATTGCAAATAAGCTTAAATAATGTTCCATACAAAAAATTAGGATCATTTTGGTATGAAAGTGATGGAAGTTTTTTCACTATGCTACTTCTAAATTTCTCCGAGCGACGTGCATTTACTGGAACAAACATAACTTTCTCATCTACTTGCTTTTCGTGAACATAAGGTAACTAAACTACTTGAAAAGAACAGAAGCAAAGTAAAGGGCTACCGTCCGGGAAGCGGTGGAGGGAGGTGGTGAATGCTATAAGCATACCACGCAGCGTAGTTATGTGGGACTCGCTAAGAAAACCTAAGTGCCTACCCACTACACATCACCTAGGATTAGCTTTCACCTGGAGGGCCTTTCTGCCGTATCGACCCCCCTTGGGGAAAGGGGGCGCAGGTGGCGAGTAACCGCTGAGAAGCGCGCCTAAATAAGGCAAATTTTAATTTTAATTTTTATATTTAATATTATTTTTTAAAAACTTTATTTATATAGATGTTTTGTGTTTTCAGTTGTTAAATACATAGACTTAGAATATACTGGCGTATAGACATAGTGTACAAGGGAGAAGAAAATTCCTTATTGCAAAAATGCAAGATAGAAAACGATACCAAATCTCATGACTCTGTAACCGATTTTGAATGACAGGTCGGCACAAGTCGGCAGGCAAGAAATAAGCTCCTGGATATATATTGTAATTTTCAGAGTTTAATTGGGGTTATATTTAGTAAGTAACTTTTTTCCA